AGACTTCCGGAGTCTATTTTCTAAATACAGTAGATGCGGTCAGTGTACTTGCGGCCTGAGCTGTTTCCTGACTGCCATTAATAAAAAGGAGAACAAAAAACAGAAGAGTTGAGTGTGACGTCATCACAGTGTACGGTATTATTAGCCAGCTGGGATAACAGTTGCTAATGTGCGCATGCTGTGGTCTGCGCAACATGTCCACAGAAATAAACCTGCATCCAGTAGGTTGCTAGGTGAGCGGCTCTCTTGGAGTGCAGTAAGCAGATTGTACATTCATAGTGTAGACACCGTGTGGTCACCCTAATACACAGAGTCACCAGCTGCCTCTTCACCTGCCTTCCACCAGGAAAGTGTAATGGGTGTTAAGTTCATGCTGTTCCTCTTCAGATCCCAACCCCTTCATACAACCAACCACTTGACCAGTAAGTCAGTCAGCGACTCTACGGGTTTCTCACCCTCAAGCTCTGAGAGATGTATTTGATGGCATTTCTTTAGCCAAGCTGGAAGCACTGTAGCTGGGACTTGAACCCAGGTTGCTGCGTTGATGGGTTAGGCCGGAGATATACCAGAATCCAGAGCTTTTAACTACGCGTTCCCGTGTGCACGAAGGCCTGCTACATGTCCACGACACAAGGTTAAAAAGCAAAATCTCCAGTTTAAGAGGGGAGTGAGTTTTACCCTTGGAGCTACTGAGTGGGACTAAGGTTGCTAAGATTGCTAACAGATATTCTTACATCTTTATACATTTTTATAGCATTTTATGGAAGCATTTAAAGGTTGCTTTTCATGAACTTGTCCGGGGTGCAGAATGAACTTTTTTGTGCACCGGCCAAATGGCTAGTGAATGTACAAATTTCATTAGCCACTCAATAGATTACCATTGTTTTCTATCTTGCTGGTGAGTGAAGCAAATCTACCAGCCACTTGCATATTTTACCAGCATTTGGCTGGTGCTCCTGAACTTGACGTATCCATTTAAAATGGTGCAGGAGTTTCTTATATCTAATTCAACAAATCAAAGCCACCAGGAGACACCTGAGTAAATAATTATGGCCAAAATTAACATTTTCTTCATGCTAATTCAGTCAAAAGTTCTCATATTTGTATCCCCTGTGTTTGGTTAAGCCCATGCCATTTCCTCCACAAAATACCCCGTTGTTGTAAATGCTTCAAACAACTTCTAAAGCGACTCATTTACAAGGCTCAAAACTATTTTATGTCACATTTCTTCTTAGTGTTCACATTTTCCTTTGGGTGGTCAAGTAAGAAAATGAATGCCGCTTTAAAAAAAACAACAACTTTAGTACCCTGAGTGTGGTTTAAGTGGGTCGCTTGAGAGTTTAATAGGCGAGGGGAAACCCTGTGCTGGATCCAAGCGTGCAGACTTGAAGTCAGACAGACGTAGCTGGAGGAAGTCAATGATGTACTTAACCACTCTCCTCAAAGGCAGGAAGACGAGGTAGAGCTAGACAGATGGGAAGAGGTGGAAAGATGGAGAGAGAAGCGAGAGAGACTCTGGAAGTCAATAATGTACTTAACCTTACTCTGCAGACTCCCCGTGTCCCTGTTATTGTAAGGCAGGGAAGATGGGAAGGGTGAGGGGGGAGGAAAGGGAGAAAGGGGGAATGAGAAAGATGGCAGGACTTGGAATGGAAATAGAGGCAGCGAAGAAGCGTTGTGTTTTTGTGTCAGCATAAATGTCAGAGTAGTTAAGTGCGTGCAGGGCAGGCAGGGAGGCTGGGGTACAGGAAGAGCCCCATATAAGAGGGAATAGCCCAGTTTTACGGCCACATAAATCTCCGTTCCCCACACTGAAGGTTGTAACCCACCTCCTCCTCTTTTGGCTTTCCTGCCTCGGTCTAGCACTACACTAAAACCTCCTATTGACTTCTTGACTCTATCTGACACACTCTTTTGCTTCATTTCTCTCTCTTTCAGACTCTCTTGACCCATGCCCTCCTTTTTTTTCTCTTAGTGGCACTCTATATATTTTCTTCCTTTGACCCTCAAGCGACCAGGGCAAGAGATTAAAAATATCTTCAGGCTGTTTCTTTGCCCGCTTGATCTGTATTTTTCCTTTTTCTTTTTCTATATCCTTGGCAGGGACTTTCATAATAAACCCCTGATTTTATGAAAGTAAGATTTATAAAAAAATGTAATCATAGTATAGCATTATATTAACAAGGTGACCAAATATTCTTCAATGTGCATTCATCCTCGTGTTCTAGTGTTCTTACCTGAAGTGCTGGTGAATCTGTTTCTTTAGAGGCCCACTGGGACTTAACTCACATTCACACATTAATGCATGATGACAGCAAAGCGAGAAAGGTGACTAATTAAAGGACAAGTGAACATAAAATGTCTTAATAAGGTGTTGATCTACCATAAGCCAGAACGGCGTCAGTGCTCCTTGACACACTGTAGACGGGCCAAGCGTGTGGCTCTCTGCTGGAGGGAAGAACACCTTCCAGAAATCTCCCGTAGGTGTTCAGATGGGTGGAGATCTGGTGACTGTGAAGGTCGTAGCTTATGATTCACATTATGTTCACACTCATTAAAGCGTTCAATGAGCCCTTGGGCCATTGTGTTCATTAGCATTTGTTATGTTTAAGTACTTATTTATTCATATGTTCCTTTTTACTTTGGCACCTATCTATCTGTTGTGGTTATAATAAGTGCCATTTCTTGCCCTCACCTGTCAGTCTGACTCTTTCCACTGTTACTGCAGCTAGCTTTCTAGATATTTATTACTTTGTGCAAATCTCTTGCGGCCCAATTTTGCTTCTAACATTTCAAATGCAACGCAGAGTGCTGTTGAAAAATGTAAAGGGCACTATTTCAGTTTTGCTGGATAAGTGAATCTCTTAAAAACACCTTTTTCCACACTTGTGCTGGATGGTCAGATTTTTGTTTGATTTATTTCTGACCTTTTTTGCTCTGATGTCCTCTTTCTCTAATGTTCTTCCTTTGTCTCTCTGACTCTTTCTTGAATAACTTCTTTCCTGTAACATATCTCTTATTTATTTAGTCATATCCTTCTTCTACTGTTTCTCCCTTTCTGAAGAAAGTTGTGCTAGACTTCCAGAGTCTATTTTCTAAATACAGTAGATGCGGTCAGTGTACTTACGGCCAGCGGATTTACGTTTTTAAATGAGAAATTCAAAATCGGGAAATGAGCTGTTTCCTGACTGCCATTAATAAAAAGGAGAACAAAAAACAGAAGAGCTGTTTTATTTTATTTATACGCAAAACGGGTACATTTTTTCATTCATCGTTTAGATATAAAGCAAGGTTTCCTCATTTCAAAACAAAAATTCATTGGGCGCAAAGTACATTGACCAAGGGCTGTGGCTCAGGGGCCGTCCACTAGTCAGAAGGTTGGCGGTTCGATCCCCAGCTCCTCCCGCCAAATTGCTCCTGATGCTATGCATCAGTGTGTGAATGGGTGAATGTGGCAAGTCCTCTCATCTCACATCTTCCTCTGTCCTCGTGCTCTGAAGTGAGACTCATACTCAGTAGAACAATTAAAGTGTTTTTTGACTGTTGTTACTTTTGAATTGAAGTGAAAAATTGCGTTCTCTGGGCAACACTTTTAGATTTAACACAAGAGGTGAGTTTTTTTCCGCAGAAACACACATATCACTGTTGAAATAATTAATGAAATATTTTTCCCACAGACACCACTTGTTAAGTGAGTTTCTCTCTGATGGAGGCTCATTCATTTCAGTTGAGAGAATCCATTCAGCAGATACTTTGTGACTGAAATATTGTGTGATGATGTTGCTGTTTGGTTAAATTCGTAGCAATCTGATTTTCATATTTTCACTTAAAAGTTTGACAGGGTACCTTTTTGAAGCTGAAAGAATTAATGCTTTTATAGTTTGAGATTCTATAGTGTTTATTTCTATTAATGATTACTTCCTTAATAGACCATTCAAATAAACTTTAACAAAGGTTAACAAGAAGCCATTTTTGTTGCAGAAAAGTTGACATATTAGCACATAGCTTCCAGCGAAATCTATGCTTTTTGAATTAGGACTTTGTATTGGCAAGAATCTGGTGATAGCTATGTATCACTATATGGGGCTTATGATTCAATATATTGCGATAGTGTAAGCAAGGTGAGATACTGCAATGTTTTTTTAATCTAATTTTAGAAAAAACTGTAACGATATAAAGGAAACGGCGCTATATACATCAAGTACAAAACAGAAAACAGATTTAAAATTAAAAAAAAAAAAAATTTAAACAGTGTTACATATATACATACAATATATATTTTTAGATCCTTCTTTAAAGGGTCGCATTAGGTTTTCTTACACCCCTATTTCTAATACTGGATTGCAGCACAAACGTAATTTTTCCATTTTTCACAGGGGTCTCAGAATTGGAAAGATGAGGTGACAAATGAGCTAAATTAGGCTGTTAAATAGAGATGTCCTCATCATAGAGATTGCTTTTTAGCGTCCTTTATTATCAAGAGACACAGAAAAAAAGCTGCTGCTTAAAACTTCAAAAAGTGTCCTAGTTTTATTTGGTTGAGAGAAGCTTGTGTTTTGTTTGGCCATGTGTTCATTTGGGTTTGCTCTATTGAAGAAAAAAGTACCTACAGTATTAAAGCAGATGCATAAAAGGGGACTGGCACAATAGCTCCCAGTGAATACAGCACTAATGTAGGATGAATTCAACAGTCGACATGTACAAGGACTCCCACTGTATGCGAAGAAACTGAACAACTGTATCATTGTGAAGTTCCCAGCGAGTCTGAAGCGCTAATGTGTAACGGTGATCAAGTCAGTTTATTCTGGCAGGATGCCTGCTGGAGGCTCTGACAGATTGGTGCCATCAGCGCATTATTTCATTAACACTTGTGTTTTCATGGTGAACATCTTCTCACTCGTCATTTTTCTCTCTCTCTCTCTCTCTCTCTCTCTCTCTCTCTCTCTCTCTGTCTCTTGCCCCCCCCCTTCCTCCCTCCCCTGCTGCCACCCCCCTGACAGATGGAGAGCGAAAAGAAGAGGAGAAAATACTCCACGAGCAGCAATGACTCCGACACCACCGACAGTAAGTTGAAAAGAGAGATTCAGGGAGGGAGAGGGAGAGGGAGAGGGAGGGAGTGTTTGTGTGTGTGTGTGTGTGTGTGTGTGTGTGTGTGTGTGTGTGTGTGTGTGTGTGTGTGTGTGTGTGTGTGTGTGTGTGTGTGTGTGTGTGTGTGTGTGTGTGTGTGGTAGTAGTAAGAAACCTGAAAGTGTCAGAAAAGTGAGTCCTGTGCTGCTGTTGTACGGTGAGCTGCCTGGTTTCAGTCAACTCCCGCAGGGCATTTCTCATATTCAGTCTCCATATAGACTTTCTTCCTGTCTCACTGTCGTCCCTTATCTGCTCATTAAGAGTTATTTTTTTTTAAAGAAAATATCCATTTTTAAACACAGCTGCAATAGAAATAAGAATAGGTAGCCCAAGCAGCCATTAACTATGATGGAGTAGGACAATATTGAAAATTCTGGTGTAAATGTAACGTGGATGAGATTTACTAGCCACAAGAAAGATGTCGTTGGGAAAAGAAACATGAATTAACCTCAAGGATTAAATTCTCAAGACAGAGTAAGTGTGCCCTAGAAGAGTGGCACTGAATCATAAAAATGAAGAAACTAATAAAAATATAGTATATAAAGAAAAAAGGAAATGCAACTGCACTCTTCTTTCTTCTGATAAGTAATTAACCTCAGTATTCCAGTGAGACATCAGCTGCTGGACCTGCTTCTCCTTCCTTCTCTCCAACGGTTGCTAATTCCATTTCTACACTCTTATATCAATAATAACATTTTTAGTACTATCATTTTATGAGAAATAGTTTTACTCGGGTGGAGTCGCACTGGGATGTAATAAATGTTTTGGAAGATCACACTACGTCATATTATTTTCTGAGCATGGTGATCTCAGACAGATCCCACAGCTGATCTGTGCCTAGATGAGCTCTCTTTCACTTGTAGAAAGTGTCTGGACGTCGGTCCCGAGTGCAGTCTATGAGCTGACTGCGTAATGAGCTGCTGTCTTAGTAAATCAGGATCTTACACACAGATTTTGCCTGCAAATACAATAAAACTCTCATCTCACATTTGTGGTATGCCATTTTCTTGATAAATCTGTCCTAATGTGCTTTGGAACTAATGTTAAGCACATGCAACATGTAGTAGGCTGACTGATTTATATTTAATGATGAATGCATAGTTTGATAAATTTGCAGGTAGATTTCCCACCCAGAGTCAGACGAGACAACCACCTAGACTGACTATAGAATGTATATAAAGTCTAACGGTATATAAAGATTGTCTCATGGGCTGTATATATCTTTTATACAGTCGATGAGACAGACAGCCAGCCATGAAGAGATACACTGCATGATGATGGGAACATCTGGCCAGTCTAACACATTACCAGCACTGGCAGCTTCTGCTGGAAAATCGTTTGATAATAAACAGTCTTTGAACAGCGGTACAGTGTTACACAAGCACATTTGGCTCTCATGGCTGATAACTGTCTACAAAATAGGAAGACTTAGTCATAGAAGACAGCTAGCATTTTAATTTAATTTTAAATGTCATTCTTTTTGGCTTTTGGCAGTTCAACGTGACTAATTCTTGGCCTTTTGCGGTGTGCATTTTGCAATAACAAGCAAATGTATTTGTTTTGCCATCCCCTTGACACTGTCAGGCCAGTGTAGACAGAATATTAGAGACATCAGTGATCTAGGAAACAAACTGTTGAGTACACAAGTGGACATGACTTTTGCTGCAAATTTATTTTAAAGGACCAGTGTGTAGAATTTAGTGGCATCTAGCTGTGAAGTTGCAGATTGCAACTGAACTGAATACCACTGGTGTCTGTATTTGACAACCTGGGAATGAGACGGGGCTGTGAAGTGTGTAGGAGAAACTACGGGGAATAAAATCTTTTTCTAACAGCTAAGTTCAGACATGGTTGTTGCTTTTGGAAAAGAAATTCTCAAAATAAAGCTGTATGCTGTCATGGTGAGGAATGTCCCAACCCTTTTCATTTTATAAGCTATTTCAAAATTTAGATCTATGAAGATAACTTCTGGATAATGTAGTGATTCAAACCTAAAAAAACTGTTTTACTGCAGCGGGGCCGCTACAGGTTGAAGTGACCTCGTACTGGTTTAACTGTTATGTGGTCACAGGTCTGCATGTATTAAGTATTTTACAGCAGGTTTAACAGGCTGTTTTTCCGACCTGACTGAGCCACATGCTGAAGGCCGCTCTGTCTGCTTTATAATTAGCTGTTAGCCGCTAGCTTCCCCTGGCCAGTGCAGCGTGGGCTCCAGCTGCATCTGTTGACTGGAGGTTATCAGGTTTCTAATTGAAGGATTCCCATGATAATTTTGGCTGCCGTGCACCAAGCGGGGCTTTTAATTAACACACGGCCATGATGCTAACCTCCAACTGCGCTGCAGCCCGTTTGGTTATCTGGCCACAGTGATGGAGTGGTGCAGCTGCCTCATGTGGGGCGTGTGGATGTAACCTGCACAGACGCACACATGCACCCACTCTCTAGTGGAGTGCAGATGCATGAGTATATTTAAGAAATGTCCAGCAGATTAGCACACAGCCCCACTGAATATGTATATACCTACCACACACAACGCATGCACATAACATATAACTCCTATACACACAGTTCTAGATGAAGGCACTCACGATTGTAAATACAAATCAATAATAAAACAGCATCATGTGTCTCAGTAAGGTCCAGTTCAACTTCAGTATGCCTTGGCAGAGATTCTTCAAATCTCTTTTTGGTATTTCGATGATGGTGGTGGAGAATGCTGTTGTCTAACGGCTTGCATTCACCGGGCACAGCTGCATCGCGTTCCAGCAATGCTGCCGGACCTTATCCCAGCCATTCTAGACAGTGCTTGAGATTCCACAAGAAACGACTCTCTGCTCCACGGAGAATATGCATCTGTTCTAAAATAAAACAGTGTGCAGACTTGTGATTGTGGAAAAGTCAAAAGAAAGACCACCATTTAACTACGTTTCCTACTTAGCCATGGTAGAAGCAAAAAACTCAAGGAAAAATGACCAAATGAACAAAGTCTGACCAAGTCAGCAAAACCGGTAGGCGAAAAACAGCACTGCAGACGTCGCTTCGCTCCAAAGTCTCCCATACCATAGGTGTTCAGGAGTGTTGCAATTAAGACATGTTCAAATAAAATTCAAATAATGAGCACAAACTCATACAAAAAAACCAAATGTACAAGTAGACACACCTATTTAAACTCTCACTCACACGCACACGCACACGCACACACACACACACACACACACACACACACACACACACAGAGAGAGACAGCACACGTGTCCCACCACATTTTGTGAGGTGGTACAGTTTGACACCCCTACTCAGAACAGCTGAGTGGCGGATTATTTTGAATGGCTGTCAGTTCACACCATATTTCCTGCTGTGCTGTGCCTGTGTGTGTGTGTGTGTGTGTGTGTGTGTGTGTGTGTGTGTGTGTAATAGTGAGTATATTAAACTGTACAACTCTGAGATTGGGACATTGGCTCAGTGTTAGCAAAGTGTGTGTGATAGTGGGCAAAAGTGTGGGTGTATGTGACTATGGGGTTACATATACATATGTGGATGTGTTAGCAGCTCTATATACAGTATGTTTATTTGTGAATTGTGTGTGTGTGTGTGTGTGTGTGTGTGTGTAGAGAGAGAGAGGTAGTCAGTTATTTTGAAGACAAACCTACCAGCAGTTCTGCCCTCGGCGCTGTTAGTTTTTCAGATGTCACAAGTAAAATTAGCGCGGTGGCAGTACTGCTGTGGTGGAAAGGGAAATATGTTGAGTAGGAGGCGGCCCGCACACACACACACACACACACACACACACACACACGCACACACACACAGTCACAGTAACAACGTGCTATATTACACAGTATTTCAAAATGTCTGTTTTCCATCATACCAATGTGATGTAATTTAATTGCCAATGTGATACAATTTTTAATGACAGCCTTCACGGTACACAGATGAAAACGAGCTTTCGGCTGTATATGTTGCAGTCATTTTGTGATTTAAAAAAAAAAAATTGAAGAACAGCGTAAATGAAATCAGACAAACACTGTTCGCATAGATGGCCACACAGGAAAACACACACAGGACTGCTGATTGAAGCGGTAGGTGGGATATTGGCTCCAGTGTCTGGTTAATTGCCATTAAGTTGTGTATTAATGAGGTTGTAAAGGACCGCAGTGGACTAACTGCTTAACAAGATACTATTTATACTGTCATTACTTATTAAACCTCCTAATAGATCATCATCAGTCTGCTTCAATTAAAGGCCTGACTCAGTGGTAGTACTGCCACGGGCTTTGGAAAAGTCGCTGGTAAGGTTTTTGTTAAGCTGCTATGTTTTAGTGCTTCTCTGCAGTGTTTGATTTGCCTCCATCAGTGTAAATTACAAAGGCCCTGAACTCCATCACAAAAAACTTTTTTACACTGATGAGCAACTTCTTGCTCTCTAGTAAGTAAGTCCCTGCTGGTTCATATTGGCTGATGTTACAGTTTTTTTTATTGTACTTGTATTGTAAACCCTCTCTGCAAAACTAATTTCTCCTATGGGACAATAAAGTTTCTTTGGAGTGAATTTGAATGCACGCTGTGTACATGAAGTCTGATCTACAGCCAGTGACCTGTTCTTTATTTAGCCCACTTTAAATCAACATTCACACTCATGAATGCACATTCTTGACCAATCAAACACAGATTAGGTTTGTTAGATGTTCTGCTCCACGTGAGTGAAGTTTTTAACCACCTTGTCTTTACAACTGCGTCACAAGTTTGTAAAAGAAGATCCGAAAAGGCTAATTTGTCCACCTGGTCCACAAAAAGAACATTAACTGAGTATTTGGTTATAAACATGTTTGTTAGCCTTACTCTTCCACTGATTGTGGTTGTACTTTTTAAATTGCTACAGGTCAGGTGACGTCGTGGTCCAGGTCATCCAAAAATACGGGCACCAGCAGCACATGGGTCCGCCACCAGCACAAGAAACCATCAGAGGTAAGTTAGTGTGGCTGTTTGTTTCAGTCACTCAGACATTTACAGTACACAAAAATGTGTTTAATGAAACACAGTCTCTGTTTGGTCATTACAAGCTCACAGTTTTGCTCCATTTCACTGCTGTCTGTTATTTGTTGTGGCTTTCCTGAATTGTCATAAATGGTCAGATTCCAACATTTTGTCTGGTTGTTGGGGCTGCTGAACACTGGCATGATCTGCAGCTTTTATGATCCAGTGGTAAATCTAAACCAGATTAGCGACCAAAAGTCAGGGCTGTGTATGGTTTTGGACAAGCTCAGAAGGCAGAGTTGCTACTGGGTCGTTTCTTGTGCAGAGCTGATTGCTGCAATGCTGAAGATTTGTAACAGACTGCAAAACCCTGCATTCCACAACATATGCAATAGCAAGATCATTCTCATGTCAAAACATATAATTACAAGAGGAAAAAATTAAGTTACTAAGTAGGCAAATTAGATGAAAATTTGTGGCATCAGTAACGCGCCTTACACCAGTGTCCTTTTCTAGATTTAACATAGTGAAAGCCAGCCACTGCTATATATCAGTTCCTAACTGGAACAAACACTTCTGTCCAATGTAAATACAGCCATCACCGTCACCACAACTAAATCAACCAGGCGCATGGATGGCACAGATTGGTTGGCTAAAATACCAGGTTGGAACATCAATATGGTCATGATGAACAATCCCAAGGGCTCTCAAATGACCACCCTGAGGAAGAAACTGGCGTAAACCAGTCGGAAAATGGTGCACTGTACCAGTTGTGGCAATGCTTTGCCTGCCACAATCACACATTCCTCCCACTCTGTCAGTGAAGTGGGTTCAAATCTGTTTAAGGAGAACTCGTCTCTTGCTGTTTGAAGAGTTTCACTCCAAAAATAACTATCTGCCATTTGGAACAAATTACATCTTCTCTTAAAAATTATCAGGGGTGATTTTTGAATAAAGTAGAGGAGGTAACAGCCTCTGATGGCACTTCTAAAATTCTAAAGATGTTCAATGAAGCACTTAAAACAAAAATCTTTTACAAAATGAATTAATACCATTTTAGAGGGTAATTTGGTCTCGCCTCTGCTATGATTTCTCCCTTTGCTCCCCCTGGAAAATGTCAAAAACCGTCTGTAGTTGAAGAGCACAAATGTTCCTTTTTTGTAACTTTTGAAAGGAGAATGAACAGAGCAAAATGGCATACATGCCCCCGAACCACCCTGAAGTACAAGTCATCAGCAGAGCATCTGTCATGCCTGTGCATTTGAAGCTTCCTCCCCCTCAGCTCCATCCAGTTAACCACAGGCTGTTGGAAGGTCCTGTCAGCAATCAGTCTCTCAGTAATTACTACTGTAGCTCTCTGCTCTGACCCGGGCCTCAGCTGAAGAGCCAGGGGCCACGTTCCCTTTCATAACGCTGCCTCCTCGCCTTGCTCTGGGGCACGCTGCTCCTTCGTAAAGGGTGATGTTTTGCAGTAATCTTTCTGCTTTTTTGGTAGTGGCGAGTGACAGGAAAGGTTGAACAAAGAAAAGGGGTGGGTGACATCTGACAAAAAGTTCAGTGCAAAGTTTTGTCAAGTCAAGACCGTTGCAAGTGGATCTGATCTAATGTCAGAAAAACTTAACTTGTTGAGCATGAAAAGCTTGCATTTGACTTGGTGCTGCTGGAGAAATGGTGACAGATAATGCTGATCTTGGTTCCTAGCTGCTCACACTCTAGGTGGATGAATGACGAGAACCCCATAGTCTAGTTTTCTTAATCCAAAACAAGGACAATGGAACAACAATGGAAACCCATTATACAATACATAAGTTAAATGTCTTGTACCTTAAGTTATTGGAGCGTTAGTACAGCAAGGCAGCAACTTATTCTTGTTAGTTTGCACATTGCATAGAATGTAAGGTTAAGTATGCTTCAAACTGAGAGCATGTTGGATTGAATGTGCAGAAAAATGAGTGCCTTTGAGGACAGACTGTCCAAAATTGTGTGCCCTTTTCACAATTTAAGCAAGACTACAAACACATGCAAAAGACTTGGAAAGAGACTAGGGAGGCAGTGGGATGGAGTGGGCGACATGTTGTATGACCGAGTTCATTTGAAGCATACTGAAGCCTTTAGTCAACTAAGCCAAGAAACTCTCATGTGTAGTTAGTGCTTATCCATTTGCATGTTAATTGGGTCACGGCTCTTATTTCTAAAGGGCAACTCTTCTTGTGAATTTATAATATAGTGACAAAGAAACTATCCTTCAGCTAGTTTATAAGAATACAGTTCTTCAGAAATGACTGGTTGCATGTCACCACTTCAACCAGCAGTGCTGGTAACTGCTGTCAGTGTCCTGAGGCAACTTGTTGTATGTTTTACAGATCAAAAGACAGTGCTTTCACTAATAATACATAAGCTGCGCTGGCCTTTTTAAGGTCACATTCCTCATTTTCACTTGTTATGCAGTTAACTACTCTTTAGCAGAGAGGATTATCACTTCCTTTGCTCAGCTTCCAGGTATCTGCACTGTTTTGGTTTGTCCAACCTGCCACCTCTATCTTTACTTTAAAGACAATGGGCAGCAGCCATGACACAAACAGAAAACCAGCATCCTGAAAAGCGCTGAAGAAAAAGCAGCTGAGTGTGGAGTGGATGTGAAGAGTGGGTAGTCTCAGCTTTTCTGAAGGAGTGAGCATGATTTAGACTGTTTTCCTTGACCTTGCTAATTAAAAGGATGTAGAGGCTTTCTTTGTATCTAAGCAGTAGATAAATTAGGATAATATAGATCAAAGAAACGACTACAAACACCAAATGTCACATTTACATGTGGCATTTAGTGTTGAACAAGATCATAAGCAAGAATAATAGGCCACAAGTTTCACTGGTTGAAAAATATTAGCAGATGATGCTTATCAGGGCTATGTCAAAAATTCATCTGGTTTTTAATTCTGGGTTGTAGTATTTGTATCCACACACACACACACACACACATTAGTCTCTTTTGTCCGTTAACAGTCTGGTTTCATTGAAATACATGGCATATTTTGTAATTGAATACAAATTCCAATATGAATTGAAACACTGTATGGAGTGTATTGACTGTGGAGTTTCTGGTAAGTGTTTGAGAATTTGACACAAATTCTAAGCTTATTTGAAACAAAAAAAAAAAAAAATCAAGGCAGGTCAAAAAGGGTGATATTTTAGGCAGTGAAAATCCTCATCACTGCATCCCTACTGGGAAGAAAACGGAACAGTGGCTCACAATGCTCAGTTTATGGAACGATATTCACCCTTGGTTAAGGGAGGTGTGGCAAATGGTAAACACTGTGGACTTGTAATGACAACGTAGCCCTTTTCTAAAAATGTGCCGTCTCTATTTGCGCCTTTGCGAGTCTTTCACTCCAGCTTTGACTTTTCTTAGATGTGGTTTAGAGAGCTTAACTTTGTGGAAGGAGGACACAGTCAAATGCTTCCTTTTTCTGTATAGCTGTTTTTATCTCAGTTTAGATGAGGGCAGAGATTGAGGATTTTTAAAATTTTGTAGACAAACAGGAAGTCATTATGACATACAGTACACACACAGATAGCACATATTTGGTCGGGTGGTTAATGGTTAGGGGCCTCATTTAAAAAAAAAAAAGCACTATAATGTAATGTAATGTAACTGGAGTAGTACTGAGTCACCAGTCAGAGGACTCTTTCCTAAGCAGCTCTTGGCCTCATCTCTTCTGACAAAAGCAGAGCTCCCCTTCTTCAGAGAAATCCCCCTGCTTTCCCGCAGGGGATTGTGTGACACTTGTCAAAACACAGCTACATGGGCAGAGGAGACACACACATGCACACATTTGTCGGATACCGAAACAAGAATGCACACACACTTTGCTGGGGCTGCCCCAGAAAAGTTGATGATTCGATTCAGTTGAGAAGAGCTTGAGTCAACACGCATTTTGTCAGTCAAATGTCTACACTTTTTTTTGTTGTTGTTGTTGCATCACTGTACACAGAGCAATACAGAACAACAGCATAGCAGGTTGTAAACTTTACAAACCAAGTCTCAAAATGACCAAAAAAACACAAAACTAATTATGACGGTAGCAGAGAAAGGTAATAGAAACAGCTGGCAGTGTGATGACGGACAGCGAGACAAGGAAGTCTGTTTGCTGCTCTGACACTCTCTGCTCCAGTGCTACAACTTCCTCTACTGCCGTCCACTGACTCTTGGGCTGACAAAGCTGTCAGCAGCCCGGCAGAAGAGAAGCTCTGTGGTGCCCTGGGTTATTGTAACATAACTATGAGTAGGATGCACACTTTTACTTTCCCTGACTGTGTGGAAATCTGAGGTTTCCACATGACAGATGATGAAGAAAGGCATCAAAACGTCTTATAGGTAAAACATGAGACTCTAGGCTGATACAGGAGTTTGGTGTGGCACTGTAAAAAAAGACGATACGGCCCTACACTTTGCATGCTGGGGGTTTCTTCCAGGCTTGTGGTATTGAAATTTTATACCACACATTCAGGGGAATGTCTGAATTCAAAATTCTAGTTTCATGTGAATCTTTGAGTCTGGTGATCGGTTCATTTTTAGTCTGAAAATCAGTCCACTCGGGCTTATGGAGATGTCCGTAAGCCCGAGTTACGATATATGTTGATGTTTCTTGTTCTTTTTACATACCACACCAGGTATGTCCTTTTGTCTGCACAACCAGGCTAAATAATAGGTCTCATTTATGTGTATATGGGGCATGTGCAAATCAAATGATTTTTGTAGCTTTGCCAAATCTGGGCATATCTGGTTAAGCCCTTTAACCCTTTGTAAGACCGGAGAAGTACAGAATGAAATCCAGAACTGTGATTCCTGGTGCTAAAAGTAGGTCTAAGGAGCTGCAGTATGTATATCATAAGCTCACAAGATGACTTGATAATGGTCAGATCAGGTGACATTGTTTCACAGCTTTTAAGATGCTGGAGGCTAATAGGCTAAGTTTAGCAGACTTTACTGTGTCTTA